CATGTCCCCTGAGCACAGGCCCTACCCCTGCTCCACCCTCATCCCCCCTGACCAGGGGCCCAGCGCGCCTGACTCCGCCCACACTCGGACCCTTCCAAGTGGTGGCTGGTGGGGGATCCGACTGCCTCTGAGAACTGGATCGTCAGGCTTGGGGTGGGGCCCAGGATTCGCGCTCCAACTCGCCCAAGTGGGGTGGGGTTCAGAGCTGCTTCCCTACTCCAGCTTCAGACGGTGAGATCCGGGGTGCACTCCCCCAGCCGCCCTCACCTGGCACCTAAGGGCACCGGGATGGACCCATTGTGGACCAATGCAGGACTGCCTCCGGGCCCAAACCCAGGAGCTGTGAGCCCCCGGACTGGGGTTTCTCGCTCTCACTGGGGAAAGACAGAACAGTCCACTTGGTCGTCCAGTGGCTGTTCTCTGGGCGGGAGAGGGCATCCATATGACGGGGCCTGGCTCCTGGCCCGCGGTCCTGTGGGCAGGGGACATGCCAGCCCCCATGAGGTGTGTCTTCCTAGAGGGAGGCCGCGTGCGGGACCCACCCCCGCCGCCGTTACCGCTGCCTGGGAGGAACGTTTCGTCTCGAAGCCTGTTCTCCTTCCTGTCCTGATGGGCATCATGGGGAGCACCTTATTCTGGGGGCCCAGGAGTTCTCTGGGGGCTAGGCTGCCATGAGGGGACCTGAGCCCTAGCACACCTGCCCTGGAGGCCAGGTCTGCAGTGCTGGGCGGGCAGGTGTCAGAGCTGCAGCCGGGACCCTGGGGTTGCCTGCTGGGTGGTGCCGCCTTGTCACCAAGCCCTGCGTCAGCTTGGCGGGCACCCCAGAGGGAGCTGCTCCTCTCTTGCCTCCAGTGCAGGGGGGAGGGGGGGGCCTAGGGATTTGGGGCAGATTGAGGGGGTGGTGGAGCCTGGAGGGGATGATCTGCCGGCTCCCGGGCCAGTGGCAGCGCCTTTCCGAACTCCCCCATGGCTGCCTGCCAAGGGTGCGGCAGAATCTGCCCCCCGCATGAGCAGGGGGCAGGTACTTCAGGTATTCCTTCCAGTGTTTACTGAGCACCTACTGTATACCTGGCTAGCGCCCCAGCCCGGCCAAACCCCACCACCCCCAGGTGAAGGGGGAGTCACTGGAGAGCCTGCCAGTGAGGTGTGAAGGGCGTCAGGCTGTGCGGGAAGCGCACGGACCCTGCTGTCCTACTCGTGGCCCTGGCCAGCGGGTGTCCATCGAGGCAGAGGGGCCCAGAGGACCCTGCAGAGCTAAACAAATAGGTGGGGTGAGGGGGGCCGGGTGGACAGGGTGAAGGTGGAGAAGGAACAGTGCCAGTTACAAAATAGGGAGATGTCCAGCACAGCAAAGGGATTAATCAATGCTCAGCACCTGGACGGGGCCAGGGTTGGACTAGATAGAGGAGGGATCGCCTCGGAAGGCATGAGAGTGTCCAACCGCCCAGCCCACTTGGCTCCGCGGATAGCGCCTTGGCCCGCGGACTGAAGGGTTCGGGTCAAGGGCACGTTCAGAGGTTGCAGGCTCCAACCCCAGTTGGGGGCGCGCAGGGGGCAGCCGAGCAATGATTTTCATCCTTGATATTTCTATCCCTCCCCGTTCCTCTCTCTGAAATCAATAAAAGTGTTTTTAAAAAACAACAGCCAAAACCGGTTTGGCTCAGTGGATGGAGCGTCGGCCTGCGGACCGAAGGGTCCCGGGTTCGATTCCGGTCAAGGGCATGTACCTGGGTTGCGGGCACATCCCCGGTGGGGGATGTGCAGGAGGCGACTGATCGATGGTTCTCTCTCATCGATGTTTCTGACTATCTCTCTCCCTTCCTCTCTGTGGAAAATCAATAAAATATACTTAAAAAACAAAACAAAGTGTTCAGCAACACCCGCAGCGAATCTGCTGTTGAATGTTAACTATCTTTGAAAAATAAAAACAAGTTCTGGGGGCGGAGTCCCGCGGCGGGTCGCTCCGCCCCGATGCCACCTGAACCCCCGCCAGGGGCCAGAGGTCTCCCCGCGGCCCGC